CCTCCCCAGCGGGGATGTTAATGCATGCGGCCCTTAGTTTCCAAAATGGAAAGGAGTGGAAGTGCAATTTACCACCCTCACCCACCTTTTTCTCCCTACTCTTTCCCTTCCTTTCTCTCTCACTTTTCCTATGTATAGAATTAAAGGAACATACCCCTTCCGTCGAATTTCCGCTGAATACGTTGGCACCATAAACGTAACGATAGTCCTTCATGTTGAGATCGTAGTTGTAGCGAGGAAAGTCGAAGGCTGAAAATTCACATAAGTAGAAAGCAAAGTCAACATTGATGCTTTGACGGTACAGTCCCATTTTTCTCGTTTTACTGCATAGACGAGTCATCGCACGCAGAGACAGAGTGCCACTGCGGACGCAATTTTATCCCTCTTACCGTCTGGTGCCTCTTCCATGTACATACAATCTCAGCCAGACGCAATTGCGACCAGTCTCTGCGTGCGCTGACTCGTCTATACTCTTTATCTATGCTAAAACTTACAGTATTCGCTCATTCTCACATCCGTGCAATGAATGCTACCGTCCATTCGTAGTACTGCTTTACATCCATTAGCAAAAGAACAAGAAGAAAGCAGATTCTCGTCAGGTTTGCGCTTATCGCTTACCGTCAACGGTATGATCATTCGGTGTAGGTATGGAGCAAGATTCGGGTTCTGTAAGGAAATCTTATTTTCTAAGGTTTTTTGGAACGAATAAAAGAGGTTACGTTACTCTAGTTTTGTAGGTCCCATCACGCATGTGTTCAAGTAGAAAATCGTCAAAATTGCCAGGATTCAGAATTTTGCAGTAATCCACAACGAGATATCCATCCTTCTCGTACGCATTGGCATGATGGAAGGTGAAGAATGCATTCGACGTAATCTACAAAAAAAGTTGATCATTGTAAGGGAGAAAGGGGGGGGGGTGGTTGCATTACCTTTTGCTCAATCTTTGTACGCTTGATTCTATCAAAAATGATAACGTTTACACTTTTAGCTTTTTCGTCCCAGTACATGCACTCATTAATGCACTTTTGCGGTTCTCCCCTGTAAAATAAAACAGCGATTACGGCATTTTTGGCTACGGTATGAGGATAACTTACTCCTCCTTTTGTGCCTTCTTCATTATATCGATTCTCTCCGGCGATTCGAAAAGTATAAAGTAATTTTCCGTCACTCCAAATGAGTGGTAATAAGCTGGGGCTAGAGCATCTGTAGCTGGCACCATTCCAAGTAGCTCAGTGCCTTCCAAGCTGTGAGGGCTTTTCGCTCCTAAACTTGATTTTACTGTCAGGTTCGGAGAAGTCACTGAACTATCCTTACCCTCGATCTTCAACGGATTTTTGGTCTTTGCAAAGACGTAGTTCGATTTCGATCCAAATTGGCTTCCAATGTTGAGAATATTTCCCTCAGGGTCTGTGTGACTGTGAGCTGTGTAGGTGTGAATGACGATTTTCAGATGGTCACGGATATCAACCTGAATTCGCGACATCATACAGTCCAAGAGTTTTTCAAATTTCTCTGCCGCCCGCAAAGACACAGCAGTATTTGTTAGAATCTGTATGGGGTATTGAAATTATTTTGTTTAGGTGCATACTTTTTATCGGAAATATGAAATTCTGATTACAGCCTTGCATTTAGGATCGTAGTCCCTCGAATCTATTGCGTGTGCGTTGAAATATCAAAACTTTTGATTCTTACAAGGGAAGGATACTTGGTCGAATTGGAGTTCCATAAAAAATGTATATTATCTTATAGAACATGGAACGCTAATTCCAAACCTGCTTCATACGCAAAGCGCTGCTGGAAGGGGAGTACCGGAATTTTTGAAGAAATAATTCTATGAATCGTCTAAGGCACAAACAGTGCTAAGTTCTTTCCGGCGCTTGAAAGGGATAGTGAACTGACATGAGTTTATCAGATAGAAGGTATTAATGCATAAAGCGCGTAATCATAGTCTCATTTGGGCTCACAAATTGAAGTTCTGAATGATTTTATCGTAGCGGGGCTTTCGAATATTTGCAACAGAAAAATTTCCTTGACTCCTCTCCTAAAAGCGCTTTGCAAATAGAAAGCAGATTTAAAATCAGCGTTCCTGCTTTATAAGATAATTCACATTTTGTATGGAAACGTCACTTCGACCAAGTATCTTCCCCTTGTTTGAGAAACACCTTCAAGAGCACCTTCATTCATACTCTTCTGATTTGCTGCCAACTTACTGTCCGACTTACCTCATTTTGCACCATCATTCTGCAATTTAGCAGGAAATAAGAACATAAGAGCACAAATCAACTGTGCAAATAAATCTAAGAGACTACCTCTCTGAATATGATTGAGCAAAGCCCATACGCTCGGCAAAGGTATGCCTTCTATAGTATCTTTGGCAGAGACTCATAAAAATCTTGCCCACAAACACCTTCATTCAATGCCTAGCGGAAGAATTTTATTCTGTGAAAGCGTTTTATCGATGCTAAGATTGCTCTTGCAGGTATTTTTTTAATTGATATTTTAGCAAGTTCTGGAATAGCATAAGCTTGAGCAGAAGATTTATATCCCTGAAGATTTGAGATTTTTGCCTTTATCTGAATGTAGCCTACAAATATTAGGTTGTCTCAAAAGTAAATTGCATTTTTTTCAGATTTCTCAAGCTAAATTTCATATACCTCGATCATCAGACCACTAGCAAAGATGTAATTTTCAAGGTTATCTTTATCAAGGTTTGTTGTATACAAACCATACTTGGGGAGGAGCTTGCTTCTGATGGGGGCGGAGTTTGCCAGTTCTCGATTTTGTTTTCTTCTTGATTTCTTAGGGTGGAAAAAAATGGAAAATGCATTTTTGTACATGGCTGTGCGT